AAGACCATGCTCTGCTCAGCTGGGATTTGAGCCGGTGCCTCTCATGCCAGACTCTGTCTTGATGGGAAGAGCCACTTGCAATAGCTGTAATTTTGTTTAGGGCACCTGTTCCTTTGTGTGTGCCAATGGAGTGGGCTGGTTCGGTGGTAGCAGTCGGTGCTGGGTCTTAAACCATTTTCACACTGACATTCTGTAGTATTTGGACTGAAAAGGGTTTTCTTCTTTTTCTTTCTAGAAAGTTGTTTGTATGCAGAGAATGCTGAGAGATGTCTTCTGCTTTAGCTCAGTTTGTCATAATATCTACCTAGACCAAAAGGATTTTAGCCTTAATTTAATACATTCTGTTGAATGTTTTTGCTCCCCAGACCCTGTATTAGATTGCTCCAGCATCTCACTCCTTTAGTGGTGAAGGACCTACTAATTTCCAGCCTAAATTTATTCGTGGCCAGTTTATACCCATTTGTTCTTGTGTCAACATTGTCCTTTAGTTTAAATTGCTTCTTTGCCTTCCTAGTGTTTATCCTCCTGATGTATTTATAGACAGTAATCATATCTGCTATCAGCCTTCATTTTGCTAGACTAAACAAGCCAAGCTCTTCTGGGCTCTTCTCCGGTGATGGGCTCTTCACCGCCAGCACCTGGTTGGATCCGGGTTGCTCAGCAGTGAGTAGAAGGGCTTGGATTGCTCCCAGCATCCCGATGAGCCCCCAGTGCTTGGCACAAGGATTTAGGAGTGCCATATCTGCAGTGCTGATACTGCACACAGTGAGTTTGCCGACGGCGTTTGTGTCTTGCTCGGCAGCAGGGAGCTGGTGGGGCATGGGGATAGTTCTCCTCTCCCATGTCCAATAAATCAACTTCCAGAAAAGTTTTGTTATTGGTCCCTTGCTGCATTATCCTGTATTTTGTGCTATTAAATCACATCTTGTTTCTGTCACCTAATTGTCAGGTTACCCTTCTTCCAAGCTATCATTCCTCCTGTACAGGGCTCTGATACCTTTTTAACTGAGCCCTTGACCAACTTCCTATTAACCAGCTTAACCAATTTCTTCAACTAATTCCCATCCTCTCTAGTTTAGCTGATGTATTTCTTTGAGGCACTGTATCAGATGATTGACAGAAGAGCAGACAGATTAGATCTGCCACAGTTCCTTTAATTATTCCTTCCTTCATAATTTTTCCTTCAAGAGCCCTTCTTAGTTTTTAGGTCAGGCTAAAAGCTCTGCACTTATCAAGCTGAGGTCTTTTTTTCCTTGGCTTAAGTAGAAGCAGCACATTTACTTTGCTGTAGCATGAAGATTTGTTAGATTTATTAAAAATACTGGCCACAGGACCTCCTACAGGCTTCAGGGGGGTTTAGTCTAGACCCCCTTGGGGCAGAGTCTCATTTCCTTAGTTCCACAGCATCACTATCAGAGCAAATATATAGCAAATGTTAGGACCATTTTGGTTTACCTCTATGCTGTAGTTTCTGCCCTGCGCTGTTTAAAATGTCATTTTTGTAAAGAAAGAGAATGGGAGGATTATTCTGTATTACCAAAATGCCATCAAGAAAATGTCTCTCGTGCTCGGGGGCATGAGGCTGCCTTTTTTTTCTTTAATAGTCGTAACAATAATAATGCTATTAGGACAACAAACTAAGATGCCCCTGGAGATGATGTGACAAATTGGAAGGACATGCTGAAATTGAAATTGATTGAATAGTTCAATAAAATCAGCTTAATGCACAAAAGCAAAAAGATTAGCAACAGAAAAAAAACAAAAAAATCAGTAATTTGTTATCTGCTGGGGCCAATCTCACTGGAAATTGAATTAGTTATAAACTGAAACTAGGTACTTGAAAGGAGCACCCTTATATATCCACAGTGCTGGAGCCTTTCGGATGGAACTGGATGTGGGTGGGAACCATGAACCTGAAGGCTCGGCAGATCTCAGACTATTTCCATTTGGTGGACTTAGCAGTGTTGGCTTCATGGCTGGACTCAATGATCTTAAAGGTGTTTTCCACCCTAAATGTTTCTGTGGTTTCTTATGTCTGAGTTTTTTACAACATTTGTGTACCAACCAAGGCCATGCTCCATGTCAGATTCCACTTTTGCTCTAAACACAGTAGTTCTGTCTTCAGCTGATGGAAATCAGTGCAACTTTGGTGATATCTCTAAGATTCCACCAGCAGCTCACTTCTGGTGTGTTACCTGATGGCTGCAGCTGCCTCTGGTGTCCTGGGATGCAGCTCCCATCTCCAGCGTGTGCACTCCCATCCTGGTCCTACCTGATCACTCCATCCATTTGAGATCTGCTGTGATTCCTCACATTTTCTCACCAGGCTTAGACTCCCTGCACTTGCTGCACAAGTGCTGTGCTCCTTTGCCATCCTTCCCCTCTTCCCATCCTTCTACACCAGCTCTTTGTGACTGGTACATTTGCACATTACTAAATTCCTGTAATTTTCCTTTTTTTTTTTGCTGTTGTATGATCTGATTGATATCATCTGGCTTTTAAACTTCTTTAATCCGGTGTTCTGGATTTATGTGGGGTTTTTTATTAACACTGTGCTACAGAGCTCAGTGAATAGCATTTTGTTAAATAAAACAACTCTGTTGTAAACCTGAGGTCTGTGAGTACACACACGCACATGTCATCAGTGTGTGTAATTTAATAAGCAGTAAAATGGAGAAGTAAACCAAACTCTTAAACGAGACTTTCTACTTCCTTGCCATCTCTTGAGAGGATTCATTTTCTAAGGGAAGTGCTGGTTGAGCAGCTGAAAGGAGCTGGAGGGGGTGGGAGTTGTGCAGGCTGGTCCCAGGATGAGTAAGTGCTGTGCAGACAGAGTGTGACCTTACCCAAGATCTGTGGTGTATTCTCAGAGTTCAGACTGAAGTTTGCATAACACAGTCTCAGGTTTTAGAAGTGCTTTTGACACAAACAGAGCTGCCTTTGCCATGCCCTCGCTGGGGGCTCAGTGGTGGGCACACGTGGGAGCAGGACCTGGGAGACACATGGAAAAATGGTGATATGCCAGGGTAAGAAGCACTTGCTGATGGGAGCTGTTCCATCACACTCTCAGCTGATAGAAAAGAAGGAACATTTTTTTCCTGCAGTTGCTGCCAAAGGACTGAGGCTTTGACAATAACCTGTGACAGCCACCCTGTCAGGTCAGAAACAGTCTGGGGTCTCTCTCACTGCAGCCAGGAACATTAGAGGTGGCTTTTCCATTTAAATGCACTGTTGAAATGAGTCTCTCATGTGGGCCTCCAGCCTGTTTTTCTAATTTGTGTGAAACCTGATTGCTGCTATTTTTTTAAATATCTTCCTCTGTTATATGGTTTAAACCTAATTTGGCTCACAAGTATTTGGCCTGTTAGGGAATACTTCCATCAACCTCCCAAGTTGTCTATAAGGGAGAATAAGGAAGGAAAAGCTAAATATGAAATAGAAATTACATTCACTAATAAGGACATTTCAGCCTTAGCCGGTGCTTTACAAATGGAGTAATGAACAGCACCTTCTTGCATGAGGCAAAACAAGGGCTAACAATAGTTTCTCCCTCATGTTTTATTATACAAGGTAGGAAGAGATAATGAAAGTGCATTTCCATAATATATTCCAGTTGCAAGGTGCTGATGGATCCCTGAGTGTGATGCCATGTCAATTTAGCAGGTCAATTAAAAGTCCTGAAATCAAGATAAAGCTGAAATTCAGATCTCTTATTCTGGCAACTCAGAAGAATTAAAAAATTGAGCCAATTACAGCACTTTGAGAATGTTTGCATGGGAATAGAGAGACCTAATTGACCTAATTCTTGCCCTTTGAAATTCCAGAGGACATCTGACATTTTACACACACCCATAGCGTGGGCACCTGGAGGGAGCAGCCCCGAGTACCCGAGCTGTGTTCTGAGAGCAGGAGCAGTCCAGCACGTGGCTGGTGTCTTCTTGCGTCAAAGTCCCTCCACTTGACTTTACAAAAAGCTTTTCCTGCATAAAGTTGTGCCTCCACTTGGTTTACACACCTTTTGGTTTTGGCTGGATCCCTCCCTGTTTCTCGGCACATCCCTTTGCCCATAATTCAGGAGAGGAGCTTTGCTTTCCTATCTGTAAAGTGCTCTGTGAGCAAGACACATATTGAGATCAATGGTAAATTCTACAGATCCAGATGAAAATTCATTGTTAAGGACAGTTTTACAGGTTAGGAGACTTTTCTCAGTGCAGACAGATATTCCCAAGTAAAGAGACATCCCAGGGAGATGTATCCACATGCAAGATCAGATGGCCTGTCCTGTTTTATTCAGGTTTATTTTCCAGTTGCATTGACGTACAGCATCTTTTAGAACTTCACTGTGTGATTTTTATGGCTGACTCTGTGAAGCTTTTTTCTTTGAGAGCCTTGTTGTAGGGGATGCTCAGGAATTTAAATAAGTTCCACTGAACTTCTGTTTGTTGCATTGAATTACTATTTTTCTTCCATACTGGACTTAAATTCTCCTTATTTACTGAGACCGTGTTAAGGATTGAAACATGGAGAACATTTTAAGTATCAAAATGCTTTGTGGGCATCAAACTGTTTGAGCAGGACAAGCTGAAAGGCCACCAGGCAATACTGATGTCAGTTTTGGGGGTATAATGTTCTTAGCAATGTTTTCAGTGAGAACATATGCACAAAACTTTTATTGGTTTTCAGAAGAGAGAGACTAATGTTGGTGAAATGCTTAAAAATTAATAAACACTTGAGTTTCAAGCAAGGAATTTCGCCCATAAGATTTTTTATTTACCCATAAAGCAGGTGATGTCCACCAATATATGCAAAAATCCTTTCTAATGTGATAGAAAATTTTATCTGCCTTTTTTTTTTTACCAACATTTTTAATGCAATTATCTCTTTAGAGTCTGCTTAAAGATCACGCTTGTATATGGAAAATAAACCAAGGCATTTTACAGGACACGGGTTTTTTTCTCATCTTTTCCTTTTCTTTTCTTTCTTTTTTTTTTTTTTTCCAGAAAGTTCAGCAGTATATAGTCATTGTTCAAGCCACAGATATGGAAGGAAATCTTAACTATGGTCTCTCAAACACGGCAACAGCAATCATTACAGTGACAGATGTGAATGACAACCCCCCTGAATTCACCACCAGCACTGTAAGTATTAATCCAGTGTGTTTGTAGTTCATGGATGTTGATACCCACTGTCTCTCTTAGCTGGTTTGGGCAGATAGGAGGAACTTTGATGGATAACTGTGGAACAAAGTCTTTTCAGTGGGGGAAAAGGAGGAAAAAAGGGAAAAGGAAAAGAAGATTTATTCATGAACCAGCAAAACTGTTGGGTGACCGATTTCTCTGAGGTACTAAAGGAGCTGAAATAACGTGGCAAACAGACCATGTCTGATTGCACTGAAGAGGATGCAGTTGTTTCTCAGCAACTGGCTGTAGACATATCAGAGTTATTAGTACTTATGAGTGAGAACCTAGCAGTAGGAGGTATTTGGGGTTTATAGCTGGGATATGATTTCAAGGAGGCAGTAAGTGCTCTAAACGGTAAAAGGTAACTGGTGAAATTTGTATTTCCCTGATAGCTCTAACAGATGTATTTGTGTGTGCTGGCAGTAAATGTGTAGACATTCTTCAGTACATCTGGTCTTAATCAGTTAAAGATTTTACTTATATTAGCACAGTTCTTTCTCTATTCTGTTCTCATGTGCTCCAAGATATTACTGGGAGGCAAGGGGAAAAAAGTAAAGAGATGCAGATGACAAATTTTTAGTGCTGTTTACTGTAAAAATCAAGGATTGAAAGGTGAAATGATGTGGTCTGGTTCATTCCAACCTTAATAATCCATAGATGTAGAACATCTGAAATGTGCATAGTAATTTTAGAAATCACAGAGCAGTGCAGAGGTCTAGATGCTAATAAAATGAGAAATCCTTGTGCATCCCCCATCTGTATTCATATGAGGGTCAACAAGGAGCACTAAATGATGTATCTTAAATGAGCACCAAATCTTTACAAATACAGAAAGTCTAACTGCATTGTACTCAAACCACTGAGCATTCTTTGAGGAATGTTTTTATTATTTATATTATTCTGAATTTTCATTACATCTTAAAGGGTCTCTAAATATTTATTAATGTAGTACCAAAGTTTCCCCTTAGTGATACCCTTACAGACTGCAAATATGTAGCAGAGCTCAAGGAGATCATGGAGAGCCCACTTTTTACCCTCGTGGACCCAGATTAGTTCCATGCCAGCTGTGGAGTCTGGGTCCTTCCCTCCCATCACCATCAGGAGCTGGGCTGCTCAGCTCCCAAACAGTGCCAGCGTTTTCTGACCGAGTGACTTGGACCTGGATTCTCAGAAGAAGAAAGGCACTGAATTCCCCCTGAGTCACAGTAATACGGGCACCCAGCATGTTTTCAGGTCTGGGCATCAATCTGCAGGCTGTGATACTGCTCCAGCGAGGGCAGGGTGGGTGTAACACCACATGTGTGCTTTCTATCCATCGTGGATACACCATGCTTTGTGCTGTAAAGTTGTGATTCAAGATCTCCTTCAGGACGATACATACAGTTATGAAGAGCCATAAAAATCTGGCACAGGTCATGGGCTGTGTGGTCCTTTCTCCTGTCAGGACAGGGTTGTTCTCTCTGGAAAGCTGCCACTCATAGAGAAATTTGTGTCTGTGGGGCCGTGGGACCTCGCACCACAGCAGAAGAGGAGCCCACAGCTCCTTAGTGTGTGGGGGGGACCTTATTCTGCCAGGTAAATTCTTCTTTACCCTCCATTTGAGTGAAAAAGTAATGACATCTAGTGGCCACGTCACTTCAGCACAGGTTGTTCAGATGACCCAGGTTGCCTGGTCCTTGTCTCCAGATGCAAGTTGGAAGGTGAGGTTTTGGGAGTGGGATGAGCTGTGTCAGGGTTAGTTGCATGAGCATGAGTGCCTTCGGGAGGGCAGCGTCCCTCCAGATGTGTCATATTTTAATGGCTTTCCAAAACACTTTCCAAAGCTGAATCTGCTGGAAGGTGGGATAATGGAAATTTGCTTTCAGGTGAATTCTGAGTATTTAATGTCTCGATGTGTGTTAAACCTAGAAGGAATAAAAACCATCAAGAGAATTACCCATAGAATTGTGGTAAATGGATTAGAAAATGCTGCTCTTGCTCTAAGCAGAGTTGATGTGTACCATTATTTCTCTAATTTCAATCACCGAAGAAAGAGTTTTGTAAGGGCCAAAGGGCTTTACACAGTAGCACATGGGACTTCTTTATGAAGATTTGAAAACCAAGGGTGTTTTACAATAATACTTTCTGATTCTATGGCAACAAATATCTTTGATATACTCCTGGGTATAGTCAGGATGAATTCCGTGTGAGCATGAAAGTATAATATGGTTTTTCCCTTACTGGCAGAGAGAACAGCATCAGGCTGATCAGTCTCTTTAAACCTCAGCTGAATCTCCTTGCTGTCCTCAAATAGTCTGATCTGCATTTTAACACCTCTAAAAAAGTAGCAAAAATTGCTTTCCAGGAAATCTACAGCTCCTTGGAGGGTAAGGAAGCCCATGGTCTCTTTTAAGTGTGTGGGCTGTTTGGAGAGATACTGTGTATTTTTATTTTAAATACTTGTATTGAGATGCTGTTGTGAAAACAAAATAAGCTGAATAACTGAAAGTGTGGCTTGCTCTTGGAAAACTGCCAGATGAGGGGAACTCAGGAACTGCATTCATCCCAGACGGATACAAAGGCCCACCCTATAGCGCTCCTAAATTACCTGTCATTCAGCCAGGGTGGTTTTAAACTTAATCGTTTCTGGATAGGAATGTAGCTCAGGAGGACACTGCACCATGCTGGTGTCACAGCTCATGTGTTCAGCAGCAGGAATTAATGTTGCTGTGTAAAATTTAACAACGGGATGGGAGAGAAGAAAACAGCCACTGCAGTGGCTGAGAAAGTCAGGTCACGTCTGTAGTCGAGCACACAGTGCAGGGGGGAAGGGACTGAGTGTATGGACCATGTGGAAGTTCAGACAGGCAAAGATATGCCAAAATGACTCGTCCACTGGAGTGGGTGACCTGCAGGCATCCAAAATACCTAATGGGCTGTCATCAAAATGTAGTGCTGGGTGAGAAGTGGAAAAAGAGCAATAAAATCACACAGAAGATCCATAAAGGCACAGAATGAAGATACTCTAGTAAAACTCCAAAATGCTTGGGTGCTTCTGTGAAAATGGATCTCTGTGGGTGTCACACCCTTTAGTCCATCACCTGAAAGGCTGGGGAGGGTCCTGTAAAACAGCAGGGGAAGAAGCAACCCCACCTTCCCATACAGAGGATTCTGAAATTATATGGGAGGGAGGAAATCACAGTCTCTGGATGAAACAATTTTGAACTCAGGTCTGCTGTTAACTCCAAGTCCAGTCTCCATCAGCAGGAGTCATGGCCAGTCCTCATAGTTATGACCAGGACTTCCTGCATCAAGCTGTGAGGCTCTGGGGCACAGTGGGAGTTGAGGCACCTCCCCTAGTCCTTTCCAGCTCTGTTTTTTGTGATGATGAATGTTTTCTTGATCTGCAGTGCTACCTGCCTGAGCTGAGAAGCATCAGAGAGCAGCCAACAGTAGGGAAGTGTCTCATTAGAGATACCAGAAGAGTGACACATCCCCTGAAATGCAATAAACATTACAGGCAGCTGTTTGGGGCAATTTCAATGATTTAGTGCAGGGCTGTGACCCAGGGAATGCTCTTCTGGCCAGCTAAGGGACTTCAGCCTGCTCATTCTGTTGCGTTCTTCATGTGACATTGTTGCTTGCAAAAATAAATGAAGGGAGACAGTTCTTCCCTCTGCCAGAGAGCAGAGGTAACACCAACTCCACATCTTCCATGCCCAAGTTTTTCATGGCTTTTAGAGAGTGGTTAGCTGTGCTCATTCATTTTTGGTGGGTTTTGTATCTGGCAAATCATCAGCTGGTGTAAAATATTGACATTTTAGCTGGACTGTGTTACAAAGGCTTTGCAGGAAGTTTTACTGGGAAACTGGCTTCATTGCTGTTACAACATAAAGGTATCAGTGTGCCCTCCCTTATCCAGAGTCCCTTGTACTCATAACAGGGTCATGTCCTCTGACATGTCTTAATTATGTGGAAATTCCCCAGCCTCCCTTCAAATATTTATCTCCTGTGTGCAAGTGAGTCGTGTTTTTTCCATATTAATATAGATCCGTAGCCTCTGGCCAGATGCTCACCTCAGATACAGGGGGTGCAATGAAATTAGTGTTGGTATCTCGGAGATTAAAAGTCAACTGAGACAGAACAATGCTGGATAGTCTCAGGTGAGGTTTTACGTGAGGCTGAAGCATCTTTTTTGCTCACAGAAGGAACGCCTTTAATTCCAGTGAAATCTTTAACTCCTCTCAGGCAGGATGCCCCTTCCAGTCTGACCTATGATACTGTTAATAACCATCCAAGGATTTCCACTTTATCTAAGAAAATGCATAATCAGAGGGGAGGAGAAGTGAAAGAAATCCATGCCTACACTTGACTCATACAAAGTCTATTTTTATCTTATTCAATCAGGAACAATCAGGCGCAGAGAGGAGACGCAGATGAATTTGCATGATCAGACTTCTGTGTCTGAAATGTTAATTAAAAGTTATTTTAAATTTGCCTACTGTGCAGAACTTGTTTTTATAGTAGCCCGTGTAAAGGAAATATTATTTCACAGGGCTAAAGTGCTCATGATTACTTGAGCTTGTGGATTCTTGGGAAAACCTGCCTGACAGGCAATCAACCTCTCCTTAAACAAAAAAAAAAAAAAAAAAAAAAAACGGCGGGAGAGGGGGATGATGTGGAAAGAAAAAAAAAAAGAAACTGGGCTATTCAAGTTCTTAAACCTCCTGAGCCTTAGGAGGTCTTATTTAAAGCTACTTTAAAATTTGCCCTTTGGCACTGCTTTGAGAATCTCCTCTTCCAAAGCTGAATCCAGTAGAGTCTGTTTTAAAGAGGCCGTTTTAGGACCGCATTCCCCTCCCCGTTGCGCTGCCTTGCTGGCTGATCCTGACACTGACTCCCGGGAGGAACCGCTGCAAAGGTAGGATGGACTATCAAGGAATGTGTCGGATTGTTCACAAGATTAAAAGTGCCCAGGC